AGGGAGATGTGCCCCCCTTGAAGCTGGAAACCTTGTTTTTGCAAAATAAATTGATGCAATTTGCTGTTATAGGCCTAATCAATAAATTCCTCATCAACCGATATAACCTTAAACATTCTTGGAATTGATATTTACTGATGTCGTACACACCCTTCAGTGTGAAATGTGGCTCTCTTTGCAAGCACATCTAACATCTAAGGAAAGAAGAGCTTAGATTGGTACCAGATAAAATAATTTTGTTATCAACATTAATACATTATGCTAATTTTCATCTTTGTAAGCGCATAAGACAGTGCAAATTATTTCTGTGACAGTCTTTTGAAGTGTGTAAAGCTCTTTTATCCCATACATAGTCAAAATATTGGGGGGATGATACAATGGACCATCCCCCCCTTGTCAAATATTGGGGGGATATATCCCCTCCATCCCCCCGGGATCTACGCCTATGTGTTTATGTGATACTATTTTGCATTTTGCATAGCACTCATTTTGGGTTTGTGCACTCTTGTATTCATAATCAGTGTACCACGTCACACAAGACTGACCCAAGCTATGTTTGAGTTAGTGGTGTGTTTCATTCTTAAAATCCTGAACTGCACTGATGAGATCTAACAAGATCGAAACGGTACTGTCTGCAGATTGGAATATTTACGCTCCTTTACATTGTACTATTAAGGTTGTACATTGTTTTGTAGAGCACTCTTATTTTAAGATGGTGCATTGTTTTTGTGATACTATTTTGCATTTTGCATAGCACACTCATTTTGGGTTTGTGCACTCTTGTATTCATAATCAGTGTACCACGTCACACAAGACTGACCCAAGCTATGTTTGAGTTAGTGGTGTGTTTCATTCTTAACATCCTGAGCTGCACTGATGAGATCTAACAAGATCGAAACGGAACTGTCTGCAGATTGAAATATTTACGCTCCTTTACATTGTACTATTAAGGTAGTACATTGTTTTGTAGAGCACTCTTATTTTAAGATGGTGCATTGTTTATGTGATACTATTTTGCATTTTGCATAGCACACTCATTTTGGGTTTGTGCACTCTTGTATATATGTATATATATATATATATATATATATATATAGGCTCCTAGAATCAATCCAGGATCTGAATGCCAATACGTCAATATTAAAATTTCACTGATTGATTTTATGATGAATTTTATACACCAGAACTTCATTGCTTAACGATTGTAGGCCTATACCTATTGCACTGAGGTCCCATCTTAGTCAAGGCTCACAATACAATTACAAAGAAATTAATGATTTGAATTTATAGTACCATCAACGTCTCATCCTTATTATTAATAATTGTGTTTGTATATATTGCTAGAGACTATATGCGCTTTCCAGAAAATTGGTGAAAAATGAAAAGAGTGCAATTAAAAGGAAATTTAAAGTCATAAAGAAAAGTAACAAGACGGAAAAAGAAAAAAAGGAGAAAATTAATTAAAATGTTGGTGAAAAAAGAATGGCTTGAGACGGACCTTGAAGGAACTGACCGAAGATGAAGATTTGAGTGGTCTGTTTGGTACATATGAGACGGACCTTGAAGGAACTGACCGAAGATGAAGATTTGAGTGGTCTGTTTGGTACATAGGACCTTGAAGGAACTGACCGAAGATGAAGATTTGAGTGGTCTGTTTGGTACATATTTACTGATAGATGCAGAAGTAGGGGCCAAACCATGAAAAATTTTATGTGATAAGAAGAGTTTAAAAGTAACTGCACAGGGAGCCAATGAAGTTGCTTCTTGGGAATAGGTGATGTGCTCTTTTTTGGTGCACAAACAGCAAGTCTAGCAGCAACATTATGAACATGTGAAAGTTTCTTTAACTGCAACTGTGGAATACCAAAAAGCAGTGAATTGCAATAGTCTATCCTTAGAGGAGACAAAATCATTAATAAGTGTAAAAGTTGAATTTTCTTTAAGATATTTCCGCATCTTAGATATTTTTTGTATGCATGGTATGCAGACTGACAAATGTTATTAATTTGCTTATCCATAGAGAGTGTTACTTCTGTTAATAATTAATACCCTACAGCTTCACCATGATTAGCAGAATTTCTGCAATACATACACCTCATCATTTCTTTTATAAAAAGAATAGGTAATAGAGGGCGCCATTCCAATAACTTTTCTTTGGAACGCCAGGTAACTAAAAATGTCAAAACTACGTAATAATACTAAATTTCTGTTGTCGCTGTAATTCTGTAGAAACATATACAATTTCAATTGTAACCCTGAAGAGGGAAGCAGGTGCTCCCGAAAATCAACATATTATAGGGCCTTATATATATATATATATAAGGCCCTATAATATGTTGATTTTCGGGAGCACCTGCTTCCCTCTTCAGGGTTACAATTGAAATTGTATATGTTTCTACAGAATTACAGCGACAACAGAAATTTAGTATTATTACGTAGTTTTGACATTTTTAGTTACCTGGCGTTCCAAAGAAAAGTTATTGGAATGGCGCCCTCTATTACCTATTCTTTTTATAAAAGAAATGATGAGGTGTATGTATTGCAGAAATTCTGCTAATCATGGTGAAGCTGTAGGGTATTAATTATTAACAGAAGTAACACTCTCTATGGATAAGCAAATTAATAACATTTGTCAGTCTGCATACCATGCATACAAAAAATATCTAAGATGCGGAAATATCTTAAAGAAAATTCAACTTTTACACTTATTAATGATTCTTAGGCCTAGGCAGTGGTGGCGCCAGAGCGGGGGGGGGGGGGCTGGGGCTATATCCCCCTCGTTGGGAAAGCCTAGCCCTACACCCCAGCCCACCTCCCTTCCCCCCGTCGAGGAAGACGAATTCATTCCATCGGGGAATAAAAAATATAAAAAATTATTTTTACATGTATGTTCGTTTAGCAACCATATCGCCTTCATTGACCTATTTGTGTACAATTTGTATTAACTTTTCATTACAATGATAATTAAAACAACAACAACAATAATAATAACAATAATAATAATAATAATAATAATAAAAATTCACGTGCCGTTTTATTGTAAGTTATTAGACTACCGTATATACTATTTTTCACATTGAATTAAGCCCATGAAACAACATATATTCTTCATCACAATGAATTAATTACGTTCAAACATTTATTGGAACGTAAGTCAGCAGACCAGTGTCAAGTGTCAAAACGCTTTTTTTTTAAATGTCAGTGCATATTAATGTTATGTATTGAAATAAAAAAATACAACTGCCCCTCACCCAGTTTTAAAAATTTTGGATCCGCCCCTGTTCAATGGGACTAATTAAAAATGGTTTACGTTCTACTATGACAAATGCTCGTTTGGATATCCTCATGATGCTTGGAATACATCTTGTTCGGGGAGCAACCTCGTGGTTTACAGATTTCAGGCAAAATTTCCAAAATTTATAACTTCACTTTCGTTCCCGGTGACATTGTGTTTTCTTAATTCATCATAGTATAATATTGTCACAAATTGGTGGCCATACAATTTACAGTAAGACATTATTCTTATTCGTAATTTTTTTGTTAATAATACAATCACATGGATTATTATTATTATTATTATTATTATTATTATTATTATTATTATTATTATTATTATTATTATTATTATTATGAAAAACCTGGATTTCGCCATGATGGGAGAATAGTATTGTAATGCAATACGGTGTTTGTTTTGTTTTTTGTTTTTTTTAATAATATAAAATGTAAAACGGAAAATTAGTTAGTTGGTTACATTGCGTACTCTTTGTTTCTCGTTGTTTCCATAAAAATAAAAAATAAAAAATCGGTTTTGTAATTTCGACATTAAAAAACATACATGAAGTCATTACGGTAGCTTGATGCCTATCAAATCAGTAAAAAAAAATTACTAAAATTCGCCAAATATCCGTAGCATCCAGGGGACCCCCTTGGCACTTAGGCGGCTCCCCCCAGCCAAGTAAGGCTCGCTTCGTCCGCCTAGCCCACCCGTCGGGGCCTTTAGCAGGTGCACAAATCATACAAGGTTAGGAGGTCAGGGCTTGGGAGATGGGGCGCAGTTGGTCTATTGTAAAACACAGAATCGTTTCTTTTTTTTCCTTTTTAACTTTTTTTTATTATATAAATAAGCTCTACTGTGGCGGATCCTGTATGCTAGAGTTGAGAGGGTTGAGTGGGTGTGTGAAAAGAGTATGCAGCAGGCAAATAAATCAGTACCTACGAGTGTGCCATGAATCATTTAGTTAAGATATAAATCGCGGTAACTCTCCTCCACGTTAGCCTGGAAACAAATACATCTGACCCTGTTCTGTAGTGGTAGGTGACGCTACTACTAGTTACTAAATGACATTACTTACTACTCGATATATATATATATATATATATATATATATATATATTAAAAGGCAAAATACAGAAAAACAACAATGCTGTGGGAAACAATGGCTAGATCTCGGTAGAGATACAAAAATGATAAGCAACAGCTAAAAAGTAAACGTAAGTAAACAGCCAGAAATAGAACCAGAGCTTTCGGACAACACTAGTCCTTCCTCAGTGGCGAGTGAGTGAGGGTTGAAGATGTGTATAAGAGACAGCTATTATTTCTGCCGCAACTTTATGGGCAATAAATAATGCTGCCCGGCTTAACGATGATTAGCAATGGTAACAACGGTTCTTAAGAACGGTACTTTGTCGTCGCTGAAAAGAGTATTGCACCATGTATGAAAGTGACAAGAAACTAAATAGTAACAAGATGTCTAATTAAACCTGCTGTTCAAACTCGTTACATACGTTAATTATGAATAGGAATAAATCTTATATACTGTAGGTTAGTTATAGCAATTTAGGTATGTTTGGTATCTGTATGAATTGTCATCACAAAACATGTATATAACATACAAAAGAGCAAAGGACACGTCTTTTACTACATTCGATAAAGAAATGAACGGCTCACCTATTTCAGCCATCAATTCTTGCATCTGCTGAATATTATCTAAATCTGAAAAACAAAAATATGTCCAAAGTATTTACTC